CTCGCCCGGCACTACCCCGGGGACTTCAGCCCCGCCATGCAGGCCGCGCTGGACAAGTTCCTGAGCCTGGTGACGGCGGCGCTGGTCTCCGAGTACCGCTGAGCCCAGGGGGCGCGCGGCGGCCTGCCGAGGACGTGCACACGCGCGGTGTGTGCGCGTGAGCGCTGCGCGTGCTCGCACGCGGGTGACCCGCCGAGGACGGCATGGCGCCCTTTCCCGGACTAGAGCCCCCGGCCAGTGGGTCACTGGGGGCTGAGGCCGTCTGTCGCTGCTGCTCCCCGCCCCCGCCCCGCAGCGCCCCCGCAGGAGTCAGCGCGGCCCGCGGGCTCGGCACCTCCCAGCTCCGGCTCGTGGCTCAGGCTCCACAGGGCGAGGCCTCTCAGGAAGGCTGAACGTCGGCCCCACATGCAGGGCAGTTGGGCTCTGAAGCTTGCTTGACCTCAAGTGCCCTGGCCATCCAGAGCAACAGGGGAAATTAAAGAGAACTGGAATTACAGCAACATCTCTCTCCCTCTCTCTGGTGCAAGTATTAGGAGCGTAAACCCAGGGCCTCTTGTTCTTGCTTGGCTTTTTCACCCAAGTTGGTGTTTTACCACGAGCCACACATCTGCTTTGGCTTTCTGATTACTGGAGATAGTCTCAAAAGGACTCTCCTGCCCTGGCTGGCTTCCTCAGATCTCCGCCATCTGGGAGGTAAGATTGCGGGTGTAAACCACCATCAGTACCTAGCTCTACACATCTTTTTTGCCAGTCCTGGGCATGGTCCCCGAGCCTCTTGCCCATGGCTATCACTCTACCATCTGAGGCACAGCACTACTTCCTGTGTATGTGGTACTGAGGAATAGAACCCGGGGCATGCTAGGCAAGCACTCTGCTAAACCACTTTCCCAGCCCAACAATGCTTCTTAAAACACTCTTTCCAGATGAGATGAGTCAAGAGGCAGGAGGCTCTCTGCAGCCCTGCCCCTTAACAGGCTCCGGGTGTTGCAGGAGGTAACGGTCTACCCACTTGTCACATGCCAAGTTTCATACCTGGGTCAGGCACTTGTCACCACAACTGCCTTTGTCCTCTACCTGTGTCCTCCCAGACTACCCTCCAATACACAGGGCGTCCAGTTTCCGTCAGTCAGTCAGTCATACTTCATAAAAGGGGATGAGTCCCTGTGAGCAGCAGCAGGAGACAAGCAGGATCCGACAGCCCACCTACCGCATGGGCCACACAACTAATGCCCCGGGACGTTTGCCCCAAGGCTGCGTCTCCTCCCACAAAGACTCTGGCTGTCCAGTGGATATTGTCCACAGGCCTATCTCCAGCCTCCACCTCCTTCTAAAGGAAAGAGTTGCAGTGTGGCCACCACCCTCAACCCACAGCACCAACCCCGTGGTCTGTACTAAAGGGATAAATAGCTGAGATGTGGGGTATGAGCCAAGTGGGACACTAAGGACCAAACAAATGTGGCTCAGTTAAGGGTGTGTTCTAGGAGTGCCCTGGCATATGGTCAGGTCCTGTGAACTGCCTCATGTACAAGACAGAGAGAGACCCTAGCATAGCTGACAGAGGCAGCCCATTAGGTCTATTTATTCCTATACAATATAACTCCACACACAGGAGCAACTGTACAACTTGAAGTCACAGCTAGCGCCAAACAACAGAAATGTTAAACTACAAAAGATGAGTTGTATTCAGCAAATATAGAATAACTTTAGGCTGTGTTGAATGTTTTGTCAGACTATTTACAGCTCCAGGACTAGGGTTCAGATCTCTCCAGCCTCCTTCTCCTCTGACTTCTGAGAAGTTGTCTTCCCATTGGAGCTCTCCAGCCTCCAGTCAGAATACCCTCGCTCACTCCGTCCGCACTCCCAGGACTTCTCTCTCGATGTGCGCTCCCTGGAGAACCTGGGAAAGGGGAACCAGAGGCTAAGAGGAGGCTGCTGTCCCCTCTGGATGGCTACTCAGGAAGAACACTAGGCTAGTCAGTCATGCCACCACTAGAGCCTAGGGCTACCTGCCTACCACTTGGAATGTTAGGCAGCCACAGAAAAATGACCTTTACAAAGATTTTTAATAAGAAAAACAGAAAAGGAGAATGCAACAAAATTATGGGTGTAGAACATAAAACACTAGGTAAAACTACAATGGGAAAAAAAAGGCCAAAATGAACAACAGCCTGGTCAGAACACAAAGCCTTGGACAGGATGGTCTGTGAACCAGGGGAATCCTGGTTCAGTGCAACACCACCCAGAGGGACAGGCAGGAGCTGCTCACACCTTCCTCCCGTCTCAAGCCCTGCGTCCCACAGTTGCTTGGACAGGGTCCCCACAAACTGTGTGGCCACTACATGTGGCTAAAGGACCCACTGAGAGTCTCACAAGACCCTGGGAACAAAAAGAGCTCACTCCTGGCTGCAGGTACTGAGTCAGAGTAGTTACTTGTATTTTGCACTCATGTCCCTGGAAGCCCGGCGGTGTCCCCGGCTGTGGCTCTGGGAACGGCTGCGATGACGTCGGTGGCTGTCTCGGGACCGAGACCTGGAAGATTTGCGCCTTTCTCTCGAGGTAGATCTTGACCGTCTCCGACGTCGATCCCGATCTCGGGAGCGTGACCTGAGAAAAATCAGAAAGTGCTGGGGGCCAAACTCCATGAGAGACAAACCCCACTAGGTTAACCTTCAGGCTCCTTTTCTGTCCACAGCATCACTATTATGTTTCCCCTTCCTCTTCAAATGTACAATGTTTGTAATTGTCCCATGGATTAATCTGACTGTTCCTCTGAATGATGTCTTCTAAAGAAGGATCCAGGTACTTCTAGTCAGCCTGCAGGCCTTTGAAAACTTCCCTTTCAAAATGAATTGGGGCCTGGAGATAATTCTTATTGTGCTGAGCCCCAACCAGCATGTCCTTCTCAAGTCAGCCCAGATAAAAGTCATAAAGTGGTAAACATCACATATTAAGAAAAATATTGAGGGGCTGGGAAGGTGGCTCAGTGGTAGAGCGCTTGTCTTGCATGCCTGAGGCCCTGGGTTCAATTCCTCAGCAAAAAGAAAAAAGCCGGGAGTGGCGCTGTGGCTCAAGTGGTAGAGCGCTAGCCTTGAGCTGAAGAGCTGAGGGACAGCGCCCAGGCCCAGAGTTCAAGCCCACGACCGGACCCCCACCCCAAAAAGAAAAACATTGGGGGCTGGGAAGGTGGCTCAGTGGTAGAGCACTTGCATTGTATGCATGAAGCCCTGAGTTCGATTCCTCAGCACAACATAAGCGGAAAAAAAAAAAAAGCTGGAAGTGGCGCTGTGGCTCAAGTAGTAGAGCGCTAGTAGAGCTAGTAGAGCGCCCAGGCCCAGAGTTCAGGCCCACAAGCGGACCCCACCCCCCCCCAAAAAAAAGAAAATGTTGCTGGGCGCTGGTGGCTCATGCCTGTAATCCTAGCTACTCAGGAGGCTGAGATCTGAGGATCATGGTTCAAAGCCAGCCCAGTCAGGAAAGTCAGTGAGACTTTTATCTCCAATAAACAAACCACCAGAAAACCTGAAGTGGCATTGAGACTCAAGTGGTAGAGTGCTCACCTTGAGCTGAAGATCTGAGGGACAGGGCCCAAGCAGAGTTCAAACACCATGACTGACAAGAAAAATGTTGCAGGGCACTGGTGGTTCATACCTGTAATCCTGGCTATTCAGGAAACTGAGATCTGAGGATTACAGTTTGAAGGCAGCTGGGGCAGAAACGTTTGAGACTTTTTTTTTTTTTGGTCGTTTGCGGGGCTTGAACTCTGTCTCTGCACTCTTCAGCTCAAGGCTAGTGCTCTACTGCTTAAGCCACAGCACCACTTCCAGTTTTCTAGTGGTTTATTGGAGATAAAAGACTCACTGACTTTCCTGCCTGGGCTGGCTTTGAACTGTGATCCTCAGACCTCAGCCTCCTGAGTAGCTAGGATTACAGGCGTGAGCCACTGGCACCTGGCTATTGAGACTCTTTATCTCTAAGCAACAAAAAAGCCACAAATGGAGGTTTAGCTTCAGTTGTAGAGTGCCAGTCATGAGCAAAAAACTAAGTAAGGGACAGCAGGCCCTGAATTCAAGCCCCAGTAGGGGTACCAAAAAAAAGCAAACCACAACAGTGCTTTCAGAAATAAGACATTCAACTAAACATTGTGATGGATCTAGAAACCTACCTCCTGCGATCTCTGGTTCTTGAGCCAGACCTAAAAAGGGAAAAAAAGACGAATGACATCCCTAAAGCATTCTAATTCACTGCCAACGCAGGGGTGGAGCCCTAAACGTAAGGTGGAGACTTAATACTTTCTTAGGCATCTGAAATTGAATATGGACAAAGCTAAATTTTAACCTTTACGGGGCTCCTCCATTCTCCCTGCTGCAGTAAGTGGCAATCACAGGCCAGAAATGGCAAAGGCAGCTTCCTTCCTCATTCACACACTTCACATAGTCAACAAGCAAATACCATGCTTTACCCCAATGCCCATCTGCCCCTTGCCTGGTTCACACTGCCACCAACCCCATCCTCAGAGATTTTGCTGCTCCACCTCAGTGCCTTATGCTCTGTTTTCAAGAGTGGCAAGGGTCTGGGTGCCAGTAGCTCATGCCTGTAATCTTACTCAGGAGACTGATATCTAAGGATCGTGGTTGAAAGCCAGCCCATGAGTGAGCCAGTCTATGAGACTCTTTTCTCCAATTAACCACCAGAAAACTGGAAGTGGTGTTGTGGCTCAATTGGTAGAGCACTCGCCTTGAGCTGAAGAGCTCAGGTAAAGCACCCAAGCTCAGATTTCAAGCCCTTCAACTGACAAAAAAAAAAAAAAAGTGGCAAGGCATCCTGAATCCAAACCCCAGCCTTCACATTTAGCTGTTCAGTACTCCCAAATCACAAAGTAAATAAATATCACAGCCCATACAAAGCCCTTTCCTGATGGGGGCTTAAGCAACCTGGGTCAGGCGCTGGTGGCTCACACCTGTAAACCCTAGCTACTCAGGAGGCTGAGATCTGAGGGTTGTGGTTCAAAGCCAGCCTGGGCAGGAAAGTCTGTGAGACCTTATCTCTAATTAACCACCAGAAAAGTGGTGCTGTGGCTGAAAGTGGTAGAACGCTAGCCTTGAGCAAACTAAACTGCTCAGGGTCAGTGTACCAGCCTTGAGACCAAGCCCCATGACTGACAAAAAACCCCAGCACCTTGCCTGCTTACAGATCAGTTTCCTTATGTGCCTAGCCATCAAAGGAGCTGGTTCTTTCTTTCTTTCTTTTGTCGATCATGGGGCTTGCCTCAGCTCTTCAGCTCAAGGCGAGCGCTCTACCACTTGAGCTACAGTGCCACTTCCGGTTTTCTGGTGGTTTATTGGAGATAGGGGTCTCATGGTCTCTCCTGCCCGGGCTGGCTTTGAACCGCGATCCTCAGATCTCAGCCTCCTGAGTAGCTAGGATGACAGGCGTGAGCCACCAGCGCCTGGCAAGGAGCTGGTTCTTATGGGGAGGAGGAACCTCTCTTTCAGGAAGGCACGTGCTATATCTCACTGGACTGAAAAAGCAATATGGGAGTAGGCGGAGCAGATGCTGACTGGGGCCGGAGGACGACTGTGGCACTGCCCACCCATGCTCACCGCCTGTTCAGCCGTTCCTCTCGTTCTCTCTCCTCTCTCCTCCTCAAGCGATCCTGGTTTCTTTTTTCTTGCTTTTCAGCCACAGTTTTCTAAAGGAATTAAAAAAAACAAGCAAATAAAAATGAGACAAGCCGGCCAACACAGGTTCACACCTATAATCCTAGCTACTCAGGAAGCTGAGATCTGAGGACCACGGTTCAAAGTCTGCCTGGTCAGCAAAGTCCATTAGGCTCTTACCTCCTATTAGTCTCCAGAAAACCAGAATTGATTCTGTGGCTCAAATTGGTAAAGTACTCTCCTTGAGCAGAAAAAGCTCAGGGTCAGCACTCAGGGTATGAATTCAAGCCCAACCGCTGAGAGAGAGAGAGACAGAGAGAGACACACACACACGAGAGACACACACAACACACACACACACAAACACACACTAAACTTGGCTGGTCCTGAGGCTTAAACTTAGGGACTGTGCTCTGTCCCTGAATATTTTTGCTCTCTAGCATTCTAGCACTGAAGCCACAGCACTACTTCCTGATTGTTACTGTTTTTTTTTTTGTTTCTTTGTTGGTTACGGGGCTTGAACTCTAGACCTGGGTGCTGCCCCTCAGTTCTTCAGCTTAATGTGAGTGCTCTACCACCTGAGCCACCATGCCACTTTCAGTTTTCTAGTAGTTTATTGGAGATAAGTCTCATGGACTCTCCTGCCCAGGCTGGCTTTGAACCGCGTTCTCAGACCTCAGCCTCCTGAGTAGCTAGGATTACAGGTATGGGCCACCAGCGCCCGGCTAAGATACTCTCTCTCTCTCTTTTTTTCACAGGACATGGGGCCTGAACTTGGCCTGGCCACTGTCCCTCAGCTCTTCAGCTCAAGGATAATCGCACTATACCACTTGAGCAACAGCACCACTTCCGGCTTTTCCTGCTTATGTAGTGCTGAGGAATTGAACCCAGTGCCTCATGCATGCAAGACAAGCACTCTACCACTGAGCCACCTTCCCAGCCCTCTTTTTTTTTTTCTTTTGTTCAGGTCTTGGGGCTTAATCTCAGGGACTGAACACTGTCCCTGAGCTTTTTTTGTGCTTAAAGCCAGCACTCTACCACTTGAAGTACAGCTCTACATACAATTTTTTGGTGGTTAATTGGAGATAAAGAATGTCTGGGGACTGGGAAAGTGGCTCAGTGGTAAGTGCTTGCCTTGCATGCATGAGGTCCTGGTTTGATTCCTCAGCACCATGTAAGCAGAAAAGACCAGAAGTGGTGCTGTGGTTCAAGTGGCAGAGCGTTCGCCTTGAGCTGAAGAGTGCAGGGACAGAGCCCAGGACCAGAACTCAGGCCCCATGACCGACAGAAAGGAAAAAAAAAAAAAAAAATCTCCGGGACTTCCCTGCCCAAGGTGGCTTCAAACCATGATCCCTAGCGCTGGGGACGTGGCTCAGTGGTAGAGTGACTGCCTAGCACGCACGGGTCTAATTCCTCAGTACCCTATTAACAAAAAAAGATGGAAGTAGTGCTGTGGCTCAAAAGCTACAGTGCTAGCCTTGAGCAAAAGCAACTCAAGGGCTCACGCTTAGAGCATGGACAGTCCTAAGGCCCTAAGTTCAAACCCTAGAACTGGAAAAGAAAACAAAACAAAAAAACAAAGACATGATCCTCAGATCTCAGCCTCCTGAGTAGCCACGATGATAGGTGTGAGCCACCAGCACCAAAACATAAAGCTCTTATTCAGGCTTCTCCAGAATCGGACTGTATTAACATACCCTCAACTGATCAAGCTTCTCTCGGATCTGAATGAATCCCAAATGTAACTTGCCCCCAAAATGGTCTGCTAGACGGCGGTCATTGTCGTGAAGACCAAGGTAGGCTGAACAGACTTCACAGACACGGAGCTTTTGCTGCTGAAAACTGGATGCAGGCATAGAATTTCTGTATTCTTCCTGGAGAAAAAGAGATATGAAGGTGACATCCAGAATCCACTATATAGTATCAACATCTTAAATGGAAATAATTTGACAATAAAAGTGAGTTGTCAAAAAACATGAAAAAGCTGGTTGCCTGTGCCTCACACTTGTAATCCTAGCTCCTTAGGAGGCTGAGATTTGAGGATTACAGTTTGAACGCAGCCTACGCAGGAAAGTCTGTGAAGACTCATCTCCAATTACACCAAAAAGTTGGAAGTAGAGGTGTGACTTAAGTAGTAGAGCACCACCAGTCTTCAGCAACCCAAATGTGAACTGAAGCTCCAGGACCAGTAACTAAGAACATAAGCATTATAAAACAAGCCAGGCACTGGTGGCTCTTGCCTGTAATCCTAGCAACTCGAAGGCTGAGGATTGCAGTTCAAAGCCAGCCTGGGCAGGAATGTCTGTGAGACTTATCTCCAATTAACCACCAGAAAACTGGAAGTGGTGTTATGGCTCAAGTGGTAGACCACTTGCCTTGAGCTGAAGAGCACAGAGACAGCGCTCAGACCCAGAGTTCAAGCCCTTCGACCAACAACAAAGTAATAATAAATAAAAACAAATAAAAACCCCAACCAACTAGACAAGTCAGAAGTGGTGGGCCACCACGCCTGTAATCCCAGCCCTTTGGAGGAGAAGCAAGAGTGTCTTGAGGACTGGGAGTGGTGGAGTGCTGACCTAGCATGCATGAAGCCCTGGGTTCAATTCCTCAATCCCACTTACACAGAAAAATCTGGAAGTGGTGCTGTGGCTCAAGTGGTACAGTGTTAGCCTTCAGCAAAAGAAGTTCAAGGACAGTGCCCAGGCCTTGAGTTCAAGCCCCAGGAGTGGCAATGAAACAGGTCTACACCAGCCAGGTACATACATGCATGCAAACATACATATCCCTCTCCCTTTTCTCCAGCTCATCTTTCCACCCCTATTGTTTTACTCAACTCAGTTTGTGTGTGGGGTTAGGTGGTTTTAGCTAAGGGGTTTTGTAGGATCATCCCATTCTACCTAGAGACTACCCCCAAGGAAGTCATTCATACCCTCATAACCCCATCTCTGGTACATTTGCCTTCATGAAATCAACACGTGGGAAAGAAGGGATAACAAGTACTCTGTAAATTGTTAGAGTGATGGATACGGGTTATTATATACTTTCCCAGATCTGTAGAATATGCATCAACCCAACCTAAAGCCCAACCTAAACTGGCCTTTAAATTGAAATGCAACACAGGTCCACCGATGGTAACCTACTCTACTCTACGGGAGATGTTGATAACACGGGAGGGAGGCTGGTAGGGAAATCTCTGCCTTGCATTGAACTCACAATTGTTATAATCCGTTATCAGTGCCCCACCTTTCTACTTTGCTACTTTAGCCTCCTTCCGGAGTGCCAAGATAACCAACAGCAGCCACCACACCAAGCCACTAATATTTCTCTTTCCTAAGACACTTTTCCACCAACCTCAGCTTCTTTTTTCTTTGCACGAACTTTCTCAACTTCCATAAGAATCTTCTGGGATTCGTCCACATTTCCTTCAGCTCCTAGTTGTTCAGCTTTAGCAAGGAGTTTTCCTATTTCTTCATTCAATTCATGTACCTTTTCTGCCTGAGGAGAAGAGAGATTCAAATAAGCAGAAACCAAGTTTTATTTTGCAAGTCCTGGGCTTAAACTCAGGGCCTGGGCACTGTCCCTGAGCTTCTTTTGCTCAAAGCTAGCACTCTACCACTTGAGCAACCGCACCACTTCCAGATTTTTCTGTTGTGTGTGGTAACTGAGGAATTGAACGTAGGAGCCTCATGCATGCTAGGCAAGCACTCTACAACTTAAGCCACCTTTCCAGCCTCAGAAACCAAGTTTTGAATGCAAGGGAAGTAACTTTTTCTCTCACATTCCTGAGGCTCAAACTCAAGGCCATGAAGCTCTTGGACTGGCTTCAAAACATGATCCTTCATTTACGCCTCTGATAAGCCAATGCTCTGTTCAACATATTTCTTTCCCTAACACTGAAAATAAACCAAACATCTTAAGACTCACAGATAACCACATGTGCATTTTAAATATCATGAGTTTTGTATCACTTGCAGAAATCTGAGAGCTAATGTTTGGAGCCAGCCCCAACTCTTTATCTTAAGAAGTTAACCAGCAAAAAAGCTGTTAATACTGGGCATTGGTAGCTCATGCCTGTAATCCTAGCTAGTGAGGAGGCTGAAATCTGAAGACTGCAGTTTGAAGCCAGCCTGGGCAAGAAAGACTCTTATCTCCAAGTAACCACTAGAAAAGTAGTGCTGTAGCTCAAACTGGTAAAGTGCTAGGCTTGAGTGAAGGAGCTCAGGGACAACACGCAAGCCAAGTTCAACCCCTACTGGCTCATTCCTAGAGGTCTGAGAATGGCGGTTCAAAGCCAGTCTGGGCAGGAAAAGTCCGTAAGTCCGTGAGACTTTTTTTTGGGTCAGTCGTAGGGCCTGAACCTTTGGCCTGGGCGCTGTCCCTCAGCTCTTCAGCTCAAGGTGAACACTACCGCTTGAGCCACAGCACTACTTCGGGTTTTCTAGTGGTTTATTAGAGTTAAGTCTCACGGACTTTCCTGCCAGGCTGGCTTTGAACTGTGATCCTCAGCTCTCAGCCTCCTGAGTAGCTAGGATTACAGGTATGAGCCACTGGCACCTGGCAAATGACTCCTTCCTTCCTTCCAGACATACCTTTGCCGAAACTTCTGCACTGATTTCCTCCTGTGTTTCCGCCAGTCGTTTCTTGGCAAGCTCAGTCCTCCTGTCGCACTCTGCAATGAAGGACTCCAAATGATCCATTGCCTAGCTCAGGGGAAAGAGAGAGCTATTATGAACTATTTATACAATCTCAGAATCGATTTCTTTTTTGTCAGTCATGGGGCTTGAACTCTGGATCTGGGCACTGTCCCTGAGTTCTTCAGCTCAGGGATAGTGCTCTACCACTTTAAGCCATATCACCACTTCTGGTTTTCTGGAGGTTAATTGGAGATAAGAGTCTCAGAGACTTACCTACCCCGGCTGGCTTTGAACCACAATCCTCAGATCTCAACCTCCTGAGTAGTTAGGGTTACGGGCATGAGCCATGGGCACCCAATGTTACTTTTCTTTTTACCTTTCTGTTGTGGGGCTTGAACTAGCACTATACCACTTTGAGCCATAGTACCACTTCTGAACTTGTAAACTCAAAGCTAGTACCCTACCACTTGAACCACAGCTCTACTTCTGGCATTTTTGCTGGTTACTTAGAGATAAAAAGTCTCATGGAATTTTCTGCCCAGGCTGGCTTAAAACTGGTATCCTCAGATCTCAATCTCTTGAATAGCTAGGATTACAGGCGTGAGGCAGCAATGTGTGGCTCAAAATAGCTTTAATTTCAAAACAACTTCTATCCTCAATAATCTTACCAAGAAACCTCAAGGAGAATGAACACACTGGCCATACTCAGTTCTCTGGGGACAGAAAAGGTTGAACAAGGGCCAGTGTTAAAAGGCTGTATGAAATGCATTCAATCTTTGTAAGCCACAGAACATTATTCCCTCATGTTGAGGGCAAAGTAGCCTCTTTCACTTCAAATAAGATAAAAAATAGGCCATGTGCCGATGGCTTGGGCCTGTAATCCTGATTATATACAAAGCTAGCTATCATTTGAAAATTGAAGTGTGGAGCCAGCTCAGGCAAACAAATCCAGGAGGGTCTTTGATTCTTTTTCCCAGCAAAAAGCTGGAAGTGGAGCTGTAGCTCAAGGGGGAGTGAGCAGCCAAGAATTTTTGAAAAAGCTGAGCACAGGGCCCAAAGTCAAGCTCAGTATAAGCATAAAAATAAACAAATTTAGGGAATAGATAAAAAGACACAAACAGTTATAACACCTAAGGAGTGATGATCTGTGTCCTGTCCATAGTGGGTTAGTTGTCAGAAGGTATACCAGAGGGCTATAATCTTAGCTATACAAGAGGAGGCAAAAAGTTACTAAGACCAGGAGCTGGGAAGGTAGCTCAGTGGTAGAGTGCTTGCCTTGCATGCATGAGGCCCTGGGTTCGATTCCTCAGCACCACATAAGCAGAAAAAGGTAGAAGTGGCGCTGTGGCTCAAGTGGTAGAGCACTAGCCTTGAGCTGAAGAGCTGAGGGACAGTGCCCAGGCCGAGTTCAGGCCCCATGACCGACAAAAAAAAAAAAAAAGTTACCAAGACCATCTCAACAAAAAATATGGACATGATAGTGTACATTTGTAATTAGTTATGCAGCTAAGAAAATCAGTCTGGAGGCTGGCCATGGGTAAACATGAGAAATCCATCTTTTCTTTTTGCTTGAGACCAGGACTCAAACACTGTATCTGAGTCTTGGCTAGAACTCTGCTATGTGAGCCATGCCTCCAAACATGTGAAATCAATCTTACCTGAAATATAATGGCAGGAAAGTCCCTGAGACTCATCTCCAACAAACTACTCAGAAAAAGCCAGAAGTGCTGTAGGTCAAGAGGTAGAGCTTAGCCTTGAGCACAAAGAGGCTTAGGGACAGTACCCAGGCCCTGAATTCAAGACCCAGACAGGCAAAAAAAAAGAAAGAAAGAAAAAAAAGGCAGAAAAGGAAGGATAGGAATATGGCTCTATCAAGAAAAACATGATAACTGTAAGGTCCACTCCTGGATAGCTAGCAGACTCCACCCTCCTCACAGCAAAGTCTCCACCCAGTACCTGCGTTACCTAGGCAACTGGGACACCTGGAAGAGGTCACATCTGCATCTGCTAAGGTCACATCTGAGCTTGATGTGGCCACACCTTTCTCCGCCCATACCCTAGATAAGGCCTAGCCCAGGCCCAGGTGCTCTCTCTCTTTCCCAGGCCTTTCCCAACCGCGTGGAGGGCCAAGATGGCCTGGTGTCAGCCGGAACGATGAATTAACCTATCCCTTACCTGAATACCACGTACATGGTGCTGTTCTTACTCGGCCACCTCTTTTTAAAAACCAAACAATAACCAAGTTTGAACCCTACTACAGTCAAAAGCCAAGCAAAATGAAACAAAAAAGATGGCAGTCCACAAGACTACAAGGATACTAAAGAGCTAAGAGGTAATCAGGGATTTGTTTTCTTCACATAAAAGCGTACTTGAAAGTAGAGCCAGGCAAGAAAAAAAGTTTTAGGATGGTCCAAAGTGTCTCAGAAACTAGAGAAATGCAGAGCGTCAGAGTCAGACTTCATATGTAATTCTGGAATCCAAAAATTTCTGCCACAGATCTGCAAATAATTTATTTTTTAATTAAAAAACATGTCAATTGGGGCTTGAACTCAGGGTCTAGACACTGTCCCTGAGCTTTTTTTTGCTCAACGTTAGTGCTCTACCACTTTGAGCCACAGGTCACTTCCAGTTTTCTGGTAGCTCACTGGAAATAAAAGAGACCCAGGGGAGGGGCTGGGAAGGTGGCTCAGTGGTAGAGCGGTTGCCTTGCATGCATGAGGCCCTGGGTTCGATTCCTCAGCACCACATAAGCAAAAAGAAAAAAGCCAGAAGTAGCGCTGTGGCTGAAGTGGTAGAGTGCTAGCCTTGAGCTAAAGAGCTGAGGGGCAGTGCCCAGGCCCAGAGTTCAGGCCTCACAACTGGACCCCCCCAAAAAGGGGGGGAGACCTAGGGAAGTGGTAGAATGCTTGCATAGCATGCAGGAGGCCCACAGTTTGAATCCTTGGTATCACATACACAAGAATAAATTAAAAAAGTAGTCTCTTCGACTTTCCTACCTGTATGGCTTTGACCATAATCCTCAGATTTTGGCTTCCTCAGTAGCAGATTACAACATAAGCCACCAGCAGCACAAATATTTCACCATGTATGGACATATGCACGTGTGTACATATGTGCATGTGTGCACACGCACGTGCACACACACAAACCCACACCCACAGTGATTCCAAGAGAACCCAGGCAGGAAAGTCTGTGAGACTGTTATGTCCAGTTAACCACCAAAAAGTTTTAAGGGGAGCTGTGGCTCAAATGGTAGAATATTAGCCTTGAGCAAAAAAGCTCAGGAACAGGGCCCAAGACCAGCACGAAGAAAAAGAAAAACGGACCAGCACAAGGAAAAAGAAAAACAAAAGATTGGTCACAAAGCTGAAGTAGCATAGCATGTGCCTAGCAAGTACAAGGTCCAGCATTCAAGCCCTGATACTATCAAAACAGTGAAGTAGGGCACCTGAGATTTGATGATCCTGTTTCAAAACCAGAGGGGCAGTCAAATGCAAGACACTTTTTTCTCCAATTAAGCAGCAAAAATCTGGAAGTGGAAGTGTAGCTCAAGTGGTAGAACATGTCTTGAACAAAAAAAAAGCTAAGACATAGGGCACAGTCCCTGAGTTTGGAACCAACCACTGGTATATGAGACAAGCGCGCACGCGCACACCAGAAAAAAGGGAAAAATAAAATTCAGGGTAGTAATATGTTGACAGACACAGAGATGCTATTTGTCACAGTCTAGTACACAGCTTGAGTGATAGGAATACAAGTTTCCATTTTACTACTGTTCTTTATAATTTATAAATATTACGTTATTCTTGATAGTTCACTCTTAGATTCTTTACAATAAGGATAAACATACACCAAATATAACTTACGTCCAATTCAAAAAACAGGTCTCTTTCTTTACTTGCGATCTCATAGTCTGCACGGAGGGCCAAATCATGGATTTTGGTACATTCTCCTAAATCCATCCGCTGTGGGAAACAAAAAGTTTACACAATTTAAACAAAAAGTTTAACCAATTTATGGTTTACTAAAATTCTGATCAGAGGCTGGGAAGGTGGCTCAGTGGTAGAGTGCTTGCCTTGCATGCCTGAGGCCCTGAGTTCGATTCCTCAGCACCACATAAGCAAAAAGAAAAAAGCCAGAAGTGGCACTGTGGCTCAAGTGGTAGAGCGCTAGCCTTGAGCTTAAGAGCTGAGGGACAGCATCCAGGCCCAGAGTTCAGGCCCATGACCGGACCCCAAAAAAGAAAAAACAAATAAAATTCTGATCAAACAGTCCAGGAATAGAGTACACATCAGGACTCTGAGGCAGAACCTTCGTAATTTCCAGACCAGTCTGGCTTATATAGACTCTGCCGATGGCTCACACCTGTAATCCTAGCTACTCAGGAGGCTAGGATCTGAGGATCGAGGTTCTAAGCCAGCCCAGGCAGGAAAGTCCATGAGACTCTTATCTCCAATAAACCACCAGAAAACCAAAGTGGCGTTGTGGCTCAAGCGGTAAAGCACTCGCCTTGAGCTGAAGAGCTCATGGACAGTATCCAAACCCAGAGTTCAAGCCCCACAACTGAAAAAACAAAAGAAACGAAAAAAGTAAGTCAGGTTTTGGCAGTCACAACACAGAACTTAACACTTGGCTTTCGGTATAGCTCTTTGTATATTTAAATAAACACAAGGGGGGTTGGAAAGGTGGCTCAGTGGTAGAGCGCTTGCCTTGCATGCATGAGTCCCTGGGTTTGATTCCTCAGCACCACATAAGCAAAAAGAAAAAACCCGGAAGTGGCACTGTGGCTCAAGAGGTAGAGCACTAGCCTTGAGCTGAAGAGCTGAGCTGAGGGACAGCGCCCAGGCCCATTGTTCAGGCCCCACGACCGGACCCCCCCCCAAAAAAAAATAAATAAATAAACAGAGAGCTGGGAAGGTGGCTCAGTGGTAGTGCTTGCCTTGCATGCTGAGGCCCTGAGTTCGATTCCTCAGCACCACATAAAACATAAAAAGCCAGAAGTGGCACTGTGGTTCAAGTAGAGCGCTTGCCTTGAGCTGAAAAGCTCAGGGACAGTGCCCAGGCCCAAGTTCAAGCCCCACAATCAACCAAAAATAAATAGCAGAATAGGTGGCTGATTCAGAACCCAAATAAATGCTCTAGCTATCTCTTTACCTGATGAATACCCCTGGACAATAAATGGACAATAAACCCACTGACTGATTTGAAAAACAGAAGGCTGTATTACTAAATATGACATAGTACCAGTAAGATCAGTTTGAATTACTATTCTGTGTGTGCGTCCCAGCCCGAAGTGTAGAACAATTTACTACAATCTCTTCCTCTTTTATTTTCTGAGACATGGTCTCACAGCCCCTACTAGCCTTGAAACTTCGATCCTTCGGTATCTACATCCCTAGTGCTGGTATTACAGTGGTGCACAACCAGGTCCAGATTTGAAGTGTTATTGGTGTGTGTTTGTGTGAACGTGTGCGCACACACAAACATGCACTTGTGGGCTGGGAAAGTGGATTAGTGGTAGAGTGCCTTGCATGCATGGCATGAGGCCCTGGGTTCCACATCTCAGCATCACCAAAGCAGAAAAAGCTGGAAGTGGTGCTGTTGCTCCAGTGTGGAGTGCTAGCCTTGAGCTGAAGAGCTGAGGGACAGTGCCCAGGCCCTAAGACCAACCCAAAACAAACAAAAACATGCACTTGTGTAAACCAGTCCTGGGGCTTGTGATTAGGGCTGGTGGTGTCCCTCAAGCTCTTCAGATCAAGAAAGGTGAGCAGCTGGGTGCCAGTGGCTCACAACTGTAATCCTTTTTACTCAGGAGGCTGAGATCTGAGGATCGAGTTTCAAAGCTAGCCCATGCATGGAAGTCCAAGAGATTCTTATCTCCAATAAATCAGTCAGAAATCTGAAAGTGTTGTGGCTCAAGTGGTAGAGCGCTAGCCTTGAGCTGAAGAGCTGAGGGACAGCACCCAGGCCCAGAGTTCAAGCCCCATGACCGACCAAAAAAAAAAAAAAAGCATTCTACCACTTGAGTCACAGTGCCACTTCCAGCTTTTTGAAGATAAATGTCTTATGGACTTTCCTGCCTAGGTTGGCTTCAAATCACAATCCTCAGAACTCAGGCTCCTGATTAGCTAGGATTATATAGGTATAAATCATCAGCACCTGTCTGTAGTGTTAATGTCAAAATATTATTATTACTATTTTGCCTGTCTGGGAGTTCAAATTCTGGGCCTGGGCACTGTCCCTCAAATCTTCAGCTCAAGGCTAGCACTCTACCACTTGAGCCACAGTGCCACTCCGGCTTTTTCTATTTATGTGATGGTGAGGAATCAAACCCAGGGCCTCAAGCAAGTGAGGCAAGCACTCTACCACTGAGCCACCTTCCCAGCCCCAATGTCAAAATACTGAGTCCAAGCATTCTTTTTTTTATTTATTTTTTGTCAGTCATGGGGCTTGAACTCTGGGCCTGGGCGCTGTCCCTCAGCTCTTCAGCTCTAGGCGAGCGCTCTACCACTTGAGCTACAGCGCCACTTCCAGTTTTCTGGT